GACAGCTGTCAGTGAGGACAGTGCAGAAGCCGGGGCATTCTCTGATACGGAACGTTTTTCTTTGACCTCACCGTTCCGCAGCGCATTCATTCAGCCCATGAACTGGGCACAGCGCCACACTCTTGATGCTTGAATTGGGTTGAAATCTCTCAGGGAACGGCGAGACAGTCGTGGGCTCTGGGGCTGTGCATGTTCACGTTGGCCACCAGGTAGCCGTTTCTCACAGAAATGTGGAAGCTGGTGCACCGTCTCTTCCAGTTCCTCAGCCTTCTGCTCCCAGAAATAGCTCCTGATTGACTTCCTGATTTCTTTGCTGCTCATTCAGCATTGCACTCTCTCATTCAAAGAAACTATTTAAATGAATGAGCGCCTAAGCTTCCCGGGGATGGGCATAGCAGCCAGAGGCCCCAGGCCACAGGACAGGTGCCCACCCCCTCGGTGGATTTCAGCAGGCACCTGGGTTTGTGGCTGGAGCTGGGTGCAAAGCTGGCAGCCCCCAGTCAAGAGTGTGGAGGTTGGGGAGAACTCCCTGGTCCTGGTAGTGACCAGCTGGAACGGGGGCTGGGCATTTTTTCACGGCGCAAAGCCCACGTCTGTTTCTGTGGCCATGCATTCTTGGTCTCTGCCCAGCCTTTGGAAAGCAGTCAGGCCGGGCCCCATGCGCCATCAGTTTCCTCCTGCAAGATCAAGGAGGCGTGACCTGTTTATGTACTTGAGGCCCCAGAGAACAGACCCATTCACAGGATGCCTGGGTGACTCTGGTCCTATTTTCAGCTCATAACGCATCACTGCAGCCATTCACTGTCGCTTCTGTAGCCCATCTTGGTGGATCCCATGACCCGTCCCTAACTGGTTTATTCAGTAGGATCCAGAGATGGCCAGGCTGTGGCAAGTCCTCCACCCCACACAGCTGCATTCACAGGGGATGGATTGCGCCAGCTGGAGGGCCTCATCCCTTTGGAGTCCATGGCTCTCAGACCTTGGACCCCTAACTCTCACCTCTCCAAGCCCATTTCCCCATCTGTAGGTTGGGGTCACAGTCCCCACCAGGCACACGACTGGTACCCCACAAGCCATGACTGGGGCTGGGGCTGCAGTGTCAGCCACTCAAGGTGCTGGATGGAGCTGGGGGCTCAGGGGCCTCTGCAGTTTAGAAACTTTTTTTTTTCTTTTCTTTTTTTGGAGACGGAGCCTCATTCTGTCGCCCAGGCTGTAGTGCAGTGGCGCGATCTCAGCTCACTGCAACCTGCGCCTCCCAGGTTCAAGCAATCCTCCTACCTCAAACTCCCAAGTAGCTGGGACTACAGCCTTGTACCACCATACCCGGCTAATTTTTGTATTTTTAGTAGAGATGAGGTTTTGCCACGTTGGCCAGGCTGGTCTCAAACTCCTGACCTTAGGTGATTGCCCACCTCGGCCTCCCAAAGTGCTGGGATTACAGGCATGAGCCACCGCACCAGTCCTAGAAACACCGAGGGGGTGGGCACCTGTCCTGTGGCCTGGGGCCTCTGGCTGCTATGCCCATCCCCGGGAAGCTTAGGTGCTCATTCATTTAAATAGGTTGATTTGAAACCCATTACACCAAGAGGGTAGCGACAGAACTCGCTTTCAGCCCTCGCTGCTGCAGCCTGGCAGAGCTCTTGGGCCACATTCAGTGACTCTTGAAGCTTTCTCAGGTGCCTTCCAGCCACCACGGAGAACCCCTCCACCTTCCAGTGGGGGTGAGCCACATCCTCCTGGGAGGGAGCTCAGGGCAGCCCAGGCCCCTTGGCCCCGATGAAGGCCAGATGCAGGCGTGCTCCCAAGCAGAGAAGAGAACACACCTCCAAATTCCCCACTTCTCTGTGGGAAGACGCACTCCTGACCGCCAAGCCAGGCCAGGCCGAGGGCTGCGATAAGCACTTCTGGCCTTCAGAATCTTGGCTGCATGGGGCTTTGGGGAGAATCTGGTCTGGATTCCGTGTCTTACAGATGAGGAAACAAGTCCAGGCAGACAGAGGGATCTGCTCCAGGTCAGGGTCTGGAGTTACCAGGCTGGTGCTTCACCCGAGAGAAACCCAACCCTGTGAACTGCTGGGTGGGGGAACCCAGTCCCGCCCCATCCACGAGGGATCTGTGGGCTCCTGGACCTTAAAGGACCTGAGGTTATTTCGTTCCTCCTTTCATCTCCAAGCAGAGCTCCTCTTAATCATCCTAAGCTGGCCACGAAAGGCCCCTTTCAAAATTCTCCATTAAAAACACTGAACGTTTCAGTTCCTTGTCAGCAGCTGTGGCTGTGACCGTCCATGGAGGATGAAGAGCAGTGGTCCCTCTTCTTTTGTTTGTTTATTTTTTCAGTTTGGGTTTTTGTTGTTGTTGTTGTTGGTGGTGGTGGTGGTGGTGGTGGTGGTGGTGTTGGTTTTTCTGAGACGGAGTCTTGCTCTGTCACCCAGACTGGAGTGCAGTGGTGTGATCTCGGGTCACTGCAACCTCCACCTCCCAGGTTCAAGCGATTCTCCTGCCTCAGCCTCCCGAGTAGCTGGGATTACAGGCCCAGGCCACCATGCCTTGCTCATTTTTGTATACTAATTTTAGTGGAGACGAGGTTTCACTATGTTGGCCAGGCTGGTCTCAAACTCCTGACCTCAGGTAATCCGCTCACCTTGGCCTCCCAAAGTGCTGGGATTACAGGCGTGAGCAACCACACCTGGCCTCTTTTCATTTTTGAGACAAGGTCTCTGTTGCCCAGGCTGGAATATAGTGGCGCGATCACAGCTTACTGCAGCCTTGACCTTCTGGGCTCAACTGATCCTCTCGCCTCAGTCTCCCAAGTCCTGGCTCATTTTTATTTTCTGTAGCGATGAGGTCTCCCTATGTTGTTCAGGCTGGTCTCAAACTCCTGGGCTCAAGCAGTCTTCCGTCCTTCACCTCCCAAAGTGCTGGGATTACAGGTCTGAGCCACTGTGCCTGACCTGGTCCCTCTTCTTTTAAAGCTTGGGGTTTAGTAAATGCATTATCAAGCCTAAGCTTCATTCTTTTATTTTGTAACAGCTTTACTGAGCTATAAATCACATACCGTACAATTCACCCATTAAAGTATCCAGTTCAGTGGCCTCTCGTGTGGTGAGACCTGGGAAACAATTTTAGAACATTTTCATCACCCCAAAAAGAAAGCCTGTGCCCATAAGCAGCCTCTCTCCATTCTGCCATGCCCCACCCATAGTGTTTGGTCTTCAGTAATTGATTTTCATATTTTTGAGACACATTGGTGAATACTGAAGAACTTTAATCCACTTTTTACTGGTAGGATGGAGTTTTGTGGGTTCTTTTAGTTTTGGGGGCTGACTTTATTTTGCTCACAAAGGAGTCTCAAAGTCAAGGGGAGACCCTGGATGAAGCCTCAGATCTGTTGGTTTCAGGGCTTTCCATCTGCAGAACAGCATGGGCGGTCCCTTGAAGGTCCAGGTGTGCTTACTCGTACCTGGTTTCAGGAAAGAGAGCAGAGAGGAGTCTGCCGTGGCGAAGCCGGTGAGCAGGGCCACGCAGGCTTCCAAGCTCAGGAACCTTGGAAGGCATGAGTTTCAGACTCCCGAGATCTGAAGCTGCCGGCTCATCTGAGGTGCAGCTGAATGAACACAGCCTCCTTTGTAGGAAGGCAAGGCTGGGCGCTCTGGGAACGCAGGACGGAGGTGCCCAGGAGGCTGCAGCTGCAAGCGCTCTGTAACCCTGGGGCTTGAGGCAGCTCTGCCCAAGTTCCCCTGGCTGTGAGAGGGCCCCATGTGCCTGGGGCAGTTGTGGGGAGAAGGCCGAGGCAGCTCTGGGGGATCAGCTGAAGCTGGGCTGGCATTTCCAGTTTCCTGAGGCCTGAGCTTGGCCTGGACCCTCAGCCTCACTGTCAGACAGAAACACAGACACCCGGGGTTTCTCTGGCTCCGTGTGGCACAGAAATGACGCCTTCAGTCCCTGGGGCCAGCCAGGCCTGTCACGTGTGATTCAACACAGGGTTTGCCATGTCTTCATTTGCAGCACGGTTAGTGGCTAAGGGCATGGACACTGGGCCCAGGCTGCCTGGATTCAGATCCCAGCTCTTAACCCTTGGCACACTGGGTGTCCTCTCTGTGCCTGTGTGTCCTCAGTTCTTTTTTCTTTTTTTGGACAGAGTCTCGCTCTGTCACCCAGTTTAGAGTGCAGTGGTGCGATCTCAGCCCACTGCAACCTCCGCCTCCAGGTTCAAGCGATTCTCCTGTCTCAGCCTCCTGAGTAGCTGGGGTTACAGGTGCATACCACCACGCCCAGCTAATTTTTGTATTTTCAGTAGAGACGGGGCTTCACCATATTGGCCAGGCTGGTCTCGAACTCCTGGCCTCAAGTGATCCACCCACCTCGGCCTCCCAAAGTGCTGGGATTGCAGGCATGAGCTACCATGCCCAGGTGGCCTTCAGCTTTAAAATAGAGGTGAGAACGGTATCTGAGAGCAGCTGGTAACAGAAAATGATTCCCTTCCTGAAGCCTGCGTGGGGTCCAGTGCTGGGGCTGCGTGCCGGGAAGAGCTGGCTTCCATGTGCTGCGACCCACAGGCTCCAACGGCGGCTGCTGGCCTGGACAGGCAGAGTCACCAGTGGGGAAGAGCAGGGATGGCCTGGGTTCGACACCTAGCTCCATCTCCTGCCAGCAGGGCGACCCCTGGCAAGTCATTTAGACTCTGTCCCTCAGTTTCCTCATCTGCAAAATGGGGATGAAGGTAATGGTGTCTGTGACTATTAAGCCATTCATAAGAAACCACTGGGAGGATTCAATGAGTGTTAGCAGAGGGCTTGCCCAGGTGCCCAGCCCAGGGTGGGCTCCTGTTGGTAGCTATTCACATGCTAAATTTAAAATGAAAATCAAAGCACTGCATTTTTAATTGTTTCTTTACTGATTTGAATGAATACTAATCAGTGATAGTATTGCTGCCGTGGTTAGCGCTGTTTGCTGAACGCCCACCCAAGCTGCGCTGACCTGCAGTTTCTCTGTCTCCCTAGCCGAGCCGCTGCCGCTCATGGATTTGTGCCGCCGCTCGGTGCGCCTGGCCCTGGGGAAGGAGCGCCTGGGGGAGATCCACACGCTGCCGCTGCCGGCTTCCCTCAAGGCCTACCTCCTCTACCAGTGATGTTCGCCATCGGACCGCCAGCACGACAGCCACCTGGTGCCACCTCACTGAGCCACCCGCTGCTGGGGTCGCCATACCCTGCGCCTTGGACCGGCATCCACAGCCATGGACAGAGGTCCCTGGTCTTCCCTCATCCTCCGTGGCTGCCTCCATGGGACAAGGACCGATTCCAACACAGGCTCCTCTTTCCCCCTTCCCGACATCAGCAGAAGGCAGCGTCCCTGCATGCCGTCCATATACAACCCCTCTTTGAGAAAAGACACAGAGAATAAACTTCTACGAAAGCCCTACGTTGAGCTCCAATCTGCTCTCGGGGTGGGACGGGTGCTCCCCACATCTCTGGGAGAAGGCTGCAGCCACCTGGGGTCCCAGGGTGGTGGGGGTGGCAGGTGGTGCCACAGCTCTGAGAGCAGATACCAGGGGTACTAAGAGGTGCTTAGACAAGGGCTGGTGCCCCGCCATGGGTGCCCAGCCCAGTAGGGCCATGCCATGACAGATAAAGCTCAGGACGTCAGAAACTCACCATGGACCCCAAAGCAGAAACCAAGGACCGTCCACAGGCAAATAAGCACCCAGCATCCCTCCCAGCTGTTGGTGCCCCATACCCTGTATTTATTCTTTTAACAATAACAAAAGCCATTTATTTATTCCATCTAGAAAGGAAACCTTGTTTCAGTCCCCTCTCTCTGGCTGTTCTGTTACTTTCCTCCCACCTGTGCCCTCCCTGGGATGTGTATGCCTTGCCCGCCCTCCCTGGGCACATGTGCACACGTGCCCAGGCACAAGTGTGTCTTTGGGTCCCTTGCCCTGCAGTTTCCAGAGAGCTCTGCTCCAAGTTCCCTAGCAGGCCCTTCAGGGAGGAAGAGCCTCACATGCAGTCTGGGTGTCTTCGTGGGCCCATCTGGAAGGGCTGCAGCAATTCCCCTGGGTCTCCAGGTAGCCAGTTAACTCTTGGGCTCAGGCATCCTTGCACATGGTTGCATTTCTTTAGTCTTCTGTGGGTCTTTTGGTGTGAGTTTGATTTTGCTTTTGCTTTTCTAGCTGAGTTTTCCCAAGTACATCCTCAGAAGCTCTGGGTGTGCCAGAGGACCCCCGGAACTAAGAAGGGAGGGCGAGTGGGTCTCCATTCCCTGAGAAGCTAGGGGCAGAGTCAAGCCTCACAGAAGCCAGCGCAGGTCTCTGCTCAGCACCCCAGCTGGGGCTCCGGGCCCAGGGAAACAGCCCCAGTTGATCCCAACCCCTCTCAGAGCCTCAAGAGGGGTGGCTCGGCTGCCGGCAAGAGAGGGGTGCTCTGTCCCTGGCAACCCCTCCACGTTGCATACCCCAGCACCTGCCACCGCCTTTGCCATTTCTTTGAGCTTGAAGTTAACTCTCTTAAGAGTCTAACTTTGGTTCATTTCTGCACAGGTACAATAGATGACTTTATTTGTTTAAAATGTTTAATATATATACATACATATATATATATTTGTCTGTAAGAATTATGTTTTAAACAGCTGCTGTAGAGTACCTTTTTTTAAGTAAATCTTCCAGTGGAGTATATTTTTTAAAGCACAAAATTGGTGCCAAGACTGGGTGAGAAATGTACATTACCCCCTTATTATTTTGAGGTTTTTGTTTTTTTTTTCCAGGGCAGGGGACCTTATCTGTAAGACTTTCAAAGATTTTCCTCCCTCCTGTTTCAGGTGGGTCACATTCTGGTGAATGTTTCCCTTGTACAGATACCAGCTTATGGCCTTGACTCAGCCGTCCCCACGGATGCTGGGTGACCCTCTAGCTCTCTCTGCATCTCCCACCCCCTGACGCCCTGGGACCCTCGACCCCACCCTTCTTTCCTACCAGCCCAGAGCCTTGTGGCTTGTACAGTTTTGAAACTCCCATTCTATTTTATGATGGTTGGTAATAGTCAGTAACCTAATAAAGGAACGTTTGTTAAAATATCAAACCATTTTTGAGTTCCTTGTTTGTGCCTCGGGGGAGGGGAAGAGACACGGCTGACCCCTCCTGGGTCCAGCCAGCTCCACGGCCCACAGTTTTCAGCAGATGATGGGCCGACTCCCTACCACCCCTTGGCAGAGGGTGAGATGCCAGGTGAAGCCCCAGAGAAGGAGGAGGAGAGTCCTGGAGGGGGGACCCCAGAACAGCCTCATCCCCATTTCAGAAGTTCCTCAGCCTGGCAGCCCAAGCTGCGGAAACTTGCTGAGCCTAACAGAAAGTGATTCTGTGCCTTCGTGGGCACAGCAGGTTGGTTTGTGGGGCTGTAGAACTTGAGTTGACTGTGGGCTTTTTAGGAGCAGAGTGTGAGCCATTGTGGGCATCCTCAGAGTCTAGGGTCTAGGGGAAGGAGCAGGTCCTTCATTCATCTTTGTGTCCCCTGAGGCCGAGTGCACGGTGAGGTTTGCTGAACAGTTGCAGAGTGAACTTGTTTTGCTAGCCACGTGGGCAGAGCCCCCAACAGAAAGGACAGGAAACTCTGGCTTATTTAGGGGATCAATGGGTGATAAAATGACAGTCAAGAAATTTACTAAGATGTGATCCCATGTCACGGCTAGTTTCCAAAGAGTTAGCAAGAGCACATTCAGCTTGCCGTGGGGACGCTTCATTCTCCAGGCGTGCTGGGTCCTGATAGTGCCGTGAAAAGTGCCTGACCTGAGGGCCTAAGATTCCTGGGCCCAAAGACCCATGTTCCTTTCTCTAAGAGCCTCCTGACCAGCTGTCTTTAGACCACACACATCAGCAGCATCTGGGAGGGGATTGAGAAAATGCAGATTCCAGGGTCCCACCTGAGATGTTCCAAGTCAACACTTCTAGGGCCAGGCCCAGGAATATGCATTTCCTGAACTCCCTAGGTGGCCGTGCCTAAGAGAGTTTGGACACCACTATTTGTGACAGTGTCAGCTGTTTTGCAGAGTTGCTGGGTAGAGGGAAATCATTCCATGGTGTCGGTGGGTTGGCCCAATGAGGAGCGTATGCGCTTCTGAGTCAGACCTGGATTCAAATAACTGGCTTTGTGGCCTTGGATGAGCCTCTGGAACACAGCAGTCACTGTAGTGTTGTAGCACTGTAGTGTAGTACCTGTCTCACAGGAAGATAGCAAGGGTAAGATAAGGCTCTCTGAACAGGACCTGGTGTCTTAGCAAGTGTGCAAACGAATGCTTTAAAAGCTCCTGCATTTCTGGAAAATTGCAGTTTCTGGGTTGCGACTTTGTCTTTAAGAATGGACCAGATGTTTGGGCATGGTGGCTCATGCCTGTAATCCCAGCACTTTTGGGATGCCAAGGCGGGCGGATCATGAGGTCAAGAGATGGAGACCATCCTGGCCAACATGGTGAAACCCCGTCTCTACTAAAAATACAAAAATTAGCTAGGCATGGTGGCGCGTGCCTGTAGTCCCAGCTGCTCAGGAGGCTAAGGCAGGAAAATGGCATGAACCCGGGAGGCGGAGGCTCCAGTGAGCCGAGATCACACCACTGCACTCCAGCCTGGGCGACACAGTGAGACTCTGTCCCCTCCAAAAAAAGAATGGACCAGACATTCCTAAACCAACTTCCTGATAATCATCTTTCTTCCCAGGTAAAGTCTCCAAAGGTCAAGGTAGGTATTGGGAAGAGGGACCCCTAGATGCGTTTCCCAGATGCGGTTGTAGGAAAGGGTGGTCTAAAATGATTTTCAGGTTGGAGTTCATGTCTGGGTTGCAGTTGGAACTCCGCTTCCTTTGAAGGGGGCGGCAGGGGAGGAGTGGGGTTGGGGTCAGGCACTGGGGGCGGGGGAGGCACAGGGAAAATCAGGGCCCTTGTGCTGCCAGGAGACTTCTCGGGGAGCAGCGTTTTGTGCCGAAGGGAGTGGGATTAATAAAACCATCTGTGCAGGCTTGGCCCATGTGGTTGTAATTAATCCCCTGCCTTCAAGCAGGTAGCAGACTCTCAGGGCTTGGCCATAGATGGGAAGAGTCCTCCCGTCCCCACCCTTCAGCACGCAGCTTCCCTCCCGCCTTCTCCACTCCTCAACGAGATGAGGAATGTGGAATTTACTGAACCATAAACTATGCCGGGGGAGCTGGGGAGGGGGCCGAAGACAGAGCAATTAGTTCATGCTCCAGTCCAGACACCCAAACATGGTTGGATTCCAGCTGCAAGGAATATTTGAAATAAATGAGCTGCCCAGGGCCAGGAGTTTGCTGTGTTTTCTGTACGGGGCCATGGCAACCAGGGAGGAAATCGTGAGCTAGGGACTGGGCTCTAGAGTCAACAAATGATGTCCTGGCCCAGCAAACGCAGAGGAAGCCGCTCATGGCTCTCCTCGGGTTTCTCAGGATTCAGCTGCTGGCAGGCAGGACTCGGGCTGACCATCTCCCTGGTGCACTCAGACTGTGGTGTTCTCTCCTGGGTTCTGATTTTTTTTTTTTTTTTCTGGTAAGAAAAGAGAAAACGAACTCTTCTCTGGAACCTTTCTTCCTGGGCCAGAGAACAGCTGCTGTTGTTGCTGCCGGGCTGATAATGATTTTCCTGGGTAGAGGAATATGCTCCGTGGGAAAGCTCAGGCTGAGGCAGCTAGCTAGACAGAGGTGGCACTGACCTTGTCTTCCCACCCCACCCCAATCGCAGCCTCTACTGGGTCTGCTTTATAGGCAGGAGAGGCAAAGGTCTCCTCCAGCTCCCTTCCCCGGTGGCGTTTGGAGGTGAACCTTCGAGCTGCCCCCAAGGATGTGTCTTACAAATGCATGTGAGTACCAGGACCTAATTGGGGATTTCACCCTGAAGTTCACAGATGCTCCCTGCATCTGAATCACCCGGGGGAACCTGGGCGGGGGGGTGGGGGGGAAGCAAAATCTTGGTAAGCTTGATATGCAATAGGATGGGCCTGAGAATAGGCATCTTTGAACACCCATAGATAAATCAGTTAACATTGCTCTGAAGGTTTCTGGGGTCCCAGCGTTACGTGCAGCGTTGCATCCATGCAGAGTTGCATGCAGAGCTGCACCTATGCAGACCTCTCTGCTGTATCCTCATGGTCCTTCAGGGTCCTGCCAGGGGCTGAGACCCACAGAAGCTTGGAGACCACGGGTATAAAAGATTCTGTTCGAGTGGCCCTCCCAGCTCTCTCTGCTCTGTGTCTCAGAGCACAGGCACTCCGAGAGCTACAGATCAATGCATCAATGCCAGGCACAAAAACTTCTCACCCAGGCACAAAAGTGCTCGTCTTAGGAATGAACAAAGTAGATCCAAGGGAGAAATACTGGAGTCCAGGTAGGGAAACCTTGAGCTCTAGCCTTTAGCCTGTTTCCCCAAGGAAATTAGACTCTGGAAAGCTGAACCAGGAGCTTGGAGACAACATTCGGGTCTACAAGCCACGGCCGACGCAAGACCCTTCCAGCAGGGCCATCCCCACGGGAACCGCTCAAGGGTATTTCCCACAACCTCAGCACAGCATGTAGGGACAAGGGCCTCGTCAACCCAGCTATGTGCCTCTCGGAGTATGTCTTCCTCTCGCTTTACAGCCTAAGAAGCAAACATTTTAATCCTGGGCCCTACCTTTCGCAAGATGTTCAGCTTTGCCAATGATTTCTGTTAAGCAAAGTGGGGCCGCCAGGGTTTCTGATGCCTACAGGTGGAGTCAACTCCAGTGGAAAAGGAACCCCACCTTCCAGGCTGGCCATGTGTGGAGACTGAGTGACTGGGGAGAAGGGGCCTGGCTTCAAGACTGACGCCCGGCTTCCTCCTTCCTGTCCAGGATGCTAACTTTAAAGCCTGGAGCCTTGGCGTCTCCATCTGTGAAATGGGAACAGTACTTTCCTCCCAGCAGGGCCACTGAGACCCATATGCTTAGGGCTGGGCACATCAGGGCCTGAGCCCAGGGTATTCCTATGTCTCCCTTTGATTTGTAATTAAGGTGAAATTCACATAATATCAAATTCACTGTTTTGAAGTGCGCACATCAGTGTGGCGTGTAGTGCATTCGCAATGTTGCACAACTGTCACCTCTATCAAAACATTATCATCACCCCCAATGGGTACCTCACACCCATTAGGCAGCCATTCCTCATTCCGCTCCCCCAGCCCCTGGCAACCACTAATCTACTTTCTGTCTCGATTTGCCTGTTCTGGACATTTCTTATCAATGGTATCAAACAATAGGTGACCCTCTGGGTCTG